GCATGATTATATCAAGGTTGCGACTATATCAAGAGTGACTATAACGAGGTCTGACTGTAGTTATAATAGCTTCGTTTGTTTGTTCATTGGTGAATTAGTCAGTTGTCTTAACATTCTTCTTTATTTTACAGATTAGGTGAACGCTGTTTAGTACCTTTTTGGTTTCTTTGAAGTAAGTAATCAGATAGTTATAATAGCTTCGTTTACTGGTGAATTAGTTAGTTATCTTTCATTCTTTTTTATTTTGTATGTGTTAGGTGAATGCCATTTGGTACCTTTTTGGAGCCTTTTTCTTTCTTTGAAGTAAGTAATTGGGTAGTTATAATTGCTTTGTTTGCTGATGAATTAGTTAGTTGTCTCTCGTTCTTTCTATTTTGCATGTGTTAGATGAACGCTATTCGGTACCTTCTTGGGGTCTTTTTCTTTCTTTGAGGTAATTGGGTTGTGTAATTGTAATAGATTCATTCGCTAGTGAATTAGTCAGTTGTCTTTACGTTTTTTCTATTTTGTATATATTAGGTGAACACTGTTTGGTACTTTTTGGGTTTTTTTCTTTCTTTGAGGTAATTGGGTTGTATAGTTGTTCGCTGGTGAATTAGCCAGTTGACTTTATATTCTTTCAATTTTGCATGTGTTAGGTTAATGCCATTTTGGAGTCTTTTTCTTTCTTTGAAGTAAGTAATCGGGTTGTGTAGTTGCAATAGCTTTGTTTGCTGATGAATTAGTTAGTTATCTTTTTTGTTTGATATTCTAGCCTAAGTATAGATTTTAACTAACATTTTTTTCTATTTTCAGGAAATTATTAATGCTTCTTTGGGTTAATGATCGCTATTTTCAATACAAACTTAATCTTAATCACATACCATGTGTTACTGCAATAGCGTGTAGATTTTACAACAAAATTTTTTGATATACTTTCTTTATTATAATGTGAAAATAAAAATAAAAATAATTTTTTATTAATAATTTAAAAAATAAGACTAATTTCATGAAAATAAATAGTTATAAATTCTAAAAAGTTTATAAATATCGCATATTTAAATAGCACATTTGTATTTTAAACAAAATGAAAATATTGTATACTACTAAACTAATATGAATTGTATATTAAGAAAGAATACAATTAATCACCAAAATAAATAAATAATAATTTAACGATTAAATGCGGATAAATACATATGTTGCACAAATAGAACCCGACTGAATTCCTAATTTTAAATAAAAGCAAATGATTAAGCTAATGAAACATCTTAAACAGGTTCTGCAAGGTATAGTACTATTAAAACATTGTACCAACTAATAAAGACCTAATATTCGGGTAATAAATTTATGCTTTGAGCAAAAAGTTTGTGAAAAGAGCCTTGTGCAGTATCAATAGTAGAAGTGCTCAAGCGCAGGGATGGTAAATGACCTGAAATGACTTCATGACTTAAGTGAATAATGACTAGTCATTGGTTATTTAAAAATATGAAATGACTTGTAGGGTCATTTAAAAATATATACCATATTTGCGCATAATAACACATAGGGAGTAATTTCGAATTTCAGCCTAAATTAAGTTTTATTCGGGCCATTACTTGAAATAACACCCCGGCATGCTATTATGCACAAATACAGAATAGATACAAACAACAAGAATCCTTTAATAATGTGCAGTGCTTTTAAAATGCAAAATGTCTGCAACCGGGTATTTTTTAATCTATATAATTTGTTTTATGTCCTGAGTTTTTAATCTGCATGATACGATAGTATCATTGGGGTATTTGTGCCAATCAAACTTTAATGAATCATTAAAATTCTTAAAATGCGAATGAAATGGGTGCTTCTAAAGAATCATTGAATAAATCCAATAAATTCTATTTTGCCAACGGATCATCTGCTGGATGAGTAATACATCTACCTAATTCAAATTCAAGTATTTCATTACTTGAAGATTTATTCTGATCAAAATTATCTTCATCATTCACAGTATTAGTCCAATTTTTCACCATATTTAACCAACTCTCTTCACTAAAAATGTCAGGATCATCATTTATATCTTTAGCCGTAACCTCTGTCATTTGAGAGATTTTACTTGGCTGTGAATTTTCAGAAACAAACAAATCATTATCCTCATTGTCACTTGTTAATTCTTCTTGTGTAGTGCCTTGGTTATCAGAATTGTAAGGTTGAATAGGAGTTGCAAGCTGGATTCTTTTATGTTTTTGTTTAGCCTCTTCAGCTTCGTTACATTTTTGCTTGCTTAATATATCACCATGCAATTGCTCATAGCAAACACCTTGTCATGCTTAAATTAATAAACTTAACAAAATTAGCAATATAAAATTATAAACAGTTTACAATAAACTAAATAATGTTTACATACCGGCATGCAATTTTGGCACTTCATATGTAAGAAACCTATCATTGATCATAAACATTCTACTAAAGCAGAATTGATACAAATACCAAACAATTGCAAAGCTAGTCGAGATAATTCAGGTGCTAAACCTTTTGCAGAATACCAAAAATCAATAATATTTTCATTGAATTGGTTATATGTTTCCTTATTAAAAGAAAATTCTTCCCTTTGATATAATAAAAATTCATGCAAAATACATATTGGTACTTTACCAAACCAAGCATGATAATAGTAATTTAACCATTGACTAAAGTGAGAGTAAGAAAGACCAGGAACATTAGAAGAAAATGTTGAGAGTCAATATTTTGGATGTAAGACAAATGATAGAAGAAGTAAGGGTTGTTTTGATTGGGCCCACCATTTTTCTAATCATGCAACCATGTGTTCAGAAAAATTTTCATCTTTACAGTCTGCAAAAGTTTTAATGAGCTATCTGAAACAATGCATAATTTCAAAAAGTCTTGCAGCATTTTTCTGAAGCTTATTTAGTATTCTACATAGTGGAAATAGTAAATTTTGAAGTTCATAGAGCTAAACCCACAAATTAGAATCTTGTATTATAGATATGATGTTAGGTAAAAGTATTTTGGTTGCATTCATATTTTCTACAAATCTTTGCTGTGATCGTCTACTTCGAGAAATACTTGCCATCCCAATTCTTGTCAGAGAAAATTTTGTAGCCTATATTTAATAAAAAAATTAATGTAATTTATTAAACTTTACTTATACATTTTATATATTTAAAAATCTACTTACTTTAAGTGCAGATTCAGTTTTTAATACAGAATAAAAGCAAAAATAAAAACTGTTCTAATGCATTTCAGCTAGAGTTGCAAGAGAGGTCATTTGTCCATAACAAGATACTTGTTCATTTCATAATAATCTGGTAAAATATGGAGAAGAATGAAAGTAGCTTACAATATATATTGCATTTTTTGATGTTGTTTTATATGTATCAGATGCTTTAAAAATATTACCAAAAACCAAGTTCATTTGGTGTGCTATGCAAGGTATAAAAACTTTATTTAGTTTATTATAATCTGTTTATAATTTTATATTGCTAATTCTGTTAATTTAAATTTAATTTATTAATTTAAATATGACAAGGTTTTTGATATGAGCCAATTGCATGGCAATATATTAAGCAAGCAAAAATACAATAAAGCTGAAGAGGCTGAACAAAAACATAAATGAATCTGGCTTGCAACTCCTATTCAACCTTACAATTCTGATAACCAAGACACTATACAAGAAGAATTAACAAGTGACAATAAGGATAATAATTTGTTTGTTTCTGAAAATTCACAGTTAGGTGAAATCTCTAAAACAACAGAGGTTATGGCTGAAGATGTAACTGATAATCCTGATGATTTTAGCAAAGAGAGTTGGTTAAATATAGTGAAAAATTGGACTAATACTGTTGATGATGAGGATAATTTCGATCAAAATGAATCTTCAAGTAATGAAATACTTGAATTTGAATTAGGTGGACGTATTACTCACCTAGCGGATGATCCGTTAGCTAAATAGAATTTATTGGATTTATTCAATAATTTAGAAGCACCCATTTCATTTGCATTTTAAAAATTTTAATGATTCGTTAAAGTTTGATCGATACAAATAAATAAATAGTATTTGAAATATAAATACTTATATAATTTCTGAATTAGGCATGAATAAATAAATAAATATGCATGAATATGCTAGTGTGGTCTTGTATAGTTAACGTTAATTTATAAATAAAAAATTAAATATATGTATATATATAGATTTATAACAAAATTTAGTTAATAACCACCAGTCCAAATCAGATACACATAAAAATTTAGAAATTTTTACATATCACTAGCCCAAATACCCCAATGATACTATCATATCACACAGATTAAAAACTCAGAACATAAAACAAATTATATAGATTAAAAAATACCCAGTTGCACTGCACATTATTAAGGAATTCTTGTTGTTTGTATCTATTACTATATTTGTGCATAATAGCATGCCGGGGTATTATTTTGAGTAATGGCCTGAATTAAACTTAATTTAGGCTGAAATTCAAAATTACACCCTACGCGTTATTACACGCAAATATGATATATATTTTTAAATGACCCTACAAGTTATTTCATATTTTTAAATGACCAGTAACTGGTCATTATTCACTTGAGTCATGAGGTCATTTCAGGTCATTTACCATCTCTGCTTCCAAATGGTGCCTACAAACTAAGATAACTAAATGGGACAGTACTCGTGACACCTGTAAATAAAGCTTTGCTAAAGCCTTATTACGAATGAAGCAAATAAGAAACCTATATATGGGGGCACTGTGCAGTTACAACAGACTCTTAAAAAAAAAAAAAAAAAAAAAAAAAAAAAAAAAAAAAAAAAAAAAAAAAAAAGAAAAAAAAAAAAAAAAAAAGGAAAAAAAAAAAGAAAAAAGAAAATTTATTTAATAACCTCATAACCATGTATTCCCACGTATTCCACGAATTAACATCAAACTTTTTTATAAACCAAAAAATATGCACAATAGAAAATTTTGCTTTTTAAAACTTAAAGACAAAAAAAGGTAAACAAAAATCCATGATGAAATCATAAGTCATTCATATCGTTGAAGTACACCCGCCACATCATCTTTAATACGTCTGACAACTCTTTTTCTAACTTCATCCTCTCTTTGCCGAACAACATTTTCTAACATATCAATTTTACGTTGACTATCTTCCAACATTCCAACAGCCTTAACCAATCTTTCTTGAAATAGACTGATGGTTTCTTTAGGATCACTTGATACAGTAGTAGGAGGTAGGAGAAGTTCAGAAAAAGAAAAACCGGGATTACTATTATCTTGACCACCGGGATTACCATTTGATAGATTATTATTTTGAGGTGACCATGGCCAATTGGCATTCGGAGATTGTGATCTATCGAGTTTTTGTTGACCACGTTTATTTGAAAGTCGGAAACTATCGAAACCTAAATTGGAAGGATCGGAGTTGTGTTTTCGTCTTGAGGTAATACCTTTGTGAGGAGGTGAAGTTGTTGATGTGACAGGGGAAGATAATTGTTGAGATGATACAATATCATTAGATTGAGTAGATATAGGACCACCACCAACAGAAATACTTCGCCATCGTAATTGAGTAGCAGGACCACCAGAAGGTACGACACGAAAATGACTTGTATCACTTGAATTATGATGAAGTTTCATGTCTGGCATTGTGGTAGGAGAAGGACCAGGAGTTGGAATATGGCCATTTTTCGGTTTACCAAGTTTTGGTAATTTATCTTGAGAATTGAACTTTGGAGAATAATAAAAAAAGATATAAATAAGAAGATAATAGTGATATTAAATGATTAATGGGAAAGAAGATATTGGAGAAATAAATTTTTATAATAGTAAAAACATAACGTATTTAGCTTACCTGAGAATTAACCTTTTTTCGCTTACCAGAATCATCAATTTGCATAGAGTCATTAATATCTTCCCAGGCATCTCTTTCATCATCTTCGAGTTCATCTTCTTCCTCTTCGCTACCATCAGAATAATTAGTAGCTTTAACACGTTTTCCACGATGATTTTCATGACTAATAGTATCATTATCATCTAATTCTAACTCATCTTCTTCATCATTATCATCATTTTGATTATTATTAGTAGTATCAATACTACTACCAGTATTACGACGAGTATATTTTCTTTTTTGACGTTTACTACTAGCACGTCTAATTAATTTTAAAACTAAATCACTATCATCATCATCAGCACCACTACCAGCGTCAGCACCTGTTGGATTCTTGTAAGGATCCTCATAATATTCATTAGATTTTGATAAAATATAATCAAAGAAAGCATCGACATGAATAGAACGCATCCATTTCTGCAAATAATAAATATAAATTTAATATGTTACATATGTAAAATATGCATAATAGTATAATATGTAAATATGTATGATATGTATAACATGTAAATATGTTTCATATGTAAATATATGTATAATTTACATAATAGGTATAGTATGTAAATATGTAGGAGATGAAATAATAACAACAAAGTAACTCAAAATTAAAAAAAAGACATAATAAAAAATAAATAAATAAATATATATAAAAACAATAAATATATATAAAAACAAATCTGTATATAAAAAACATATATATATATAACAAATATATATACATAAACAAATATACACATATATACATCATACGTATATTACATAGCATACGATTTAAAAGATGTAAAAAAGAAAAATAGAAAATACCTTTAGTCTTACAGCGTATTGTTGAATTTTTTGAGGACTCGATTCGTTAGTACGTTCAACACCCAACTGCTGAGCCAATTTTGTCCAAGTCTTTATTTCACCCGAATGATGTTTAGAGACAAGTTGAAAAAGAACCCAAGTATCAAAAGTTTTACCATCAGATTTAGGAACGGAATTGAAAGAACGGAGGAGAGATGATACATCCAAATCGGAAGGAGCAGAAGGATTACAATAAAGAATAAATTCTAAATAGCGATCAGCAATGTTCGCACGAGTTACATCTTTTTGAGGTAAACCGCGACGAGGAAAATTGGCTTGTAAGGATGATGAACCGGAGGCGGGTATTATTGGTTGTAAAGATCGTGCAGGTGTAGCAGATGCAGCAGGATTCGAGACATTCGCAGATGAAACGGAAGTAGAATCCTTCTTATCAACCGAAGAATCGGGCAAATTCGGAGTATTCGAAGCGACGTTGATCGTTTTAGGAGCACCTCTCGTTTTTCTAACGGGTCTATTAGAAGATGATTGTTTTGATGATTTTTGAGGAGATTTTTGAACAGAAGGAGTAGTAGAATTTGGAGTAGAATTTTGGGGATCGTTTGATGAAGAAACGGCAGGAGCGGAAGAAGCGGTAGTAACACGCATGGTTCCATCAGAGAAAAATGACGTAGTCACTTGCGACGGGGAAGAGCTTGTGCTCACGCCCGCATCGGATTCGTTACGAGTGACATCACACGTATCATCTACGGTGGTCTTATCGTCGATTGAACCCTCTTTAGGTGCATCAGAAGAATCTTTATTTAAGGGATTAAGATTTGTATGATTCTGGTCTGTCGGTGAAGGCATTGTTGTTTAGTGACTAATATAAACAAATGAAAATCAATGAATAAATGATGATATCGATATAAACGAACTTCAAAAAAAAAAAAGGGAAAGAAATAAATGAAAAAAAAAAACAATTTTTGAACAAGAAATAAAAAATGAAACGTTAATTAAAAGAACATAAGAAAACCGAACGTGTCGTGAAAGAGCGCGCTCAACCAAAAAAAAATTAAAAAAAAAAAGGGATAGAATAGGGGGTGGGATTTTCACGATGAAAATGAAAAGAAAATCATAATACGATACCTGACGGATATTAAAAA